GCTACAAGCGGTCGCCCTCCTGTCCGGAGGTCCTATCGCAAACGTCTATCGTCTCCACGAGATCCTAGTGACTCTGTGCGAAACAACGGCGGAAACTGAGCGCTCGTTCTCTTCACTACGGCGGTTGAAAACATACCTGAGAGCGTCCACTTTGAATGAGCGACTGCTCGGTCTAGCGCTTTTGAATGTTCACCGCGACACCGAAGTTCAAGCGGCGGACATCTTGGATATTCTTTGCTGTGAACGCAGGCGGTTGCATCTTAATATGCACGCGCTTGGCATAAATGAAATGATCGAGAGAGCCTGTAAATGGCTTTTTGAAATAACTAGTCACAATTACTTTTTGATCAGTACCCATCATATCTCCTCTCGTCTAGATCATCCATGTAAAGTTAAGCCACTTTCTCCAGGACTAACTCCTACAAGTACTCACCTCTCCCATTATGTATTTCGGATTGGAACAGCCTGCCCTCAAGCTCGGTGACAACAAATAACTACAACTATTTTACGCGGGAGCTTGTTAAGTTGTTTGAATAATCCATTGTGTAATGATGCTTTTTTTTATTTCTTGTTCTCATCAGTGTCTCCCAATTTCATTATAAGTATATAATGTGAATTTGTTGTATTCCCCTTATGTAATGCCTCAGAAGAGGTCCTTAAGGTAATAAAATGAAAAATTACTTACAGTGCCATTGTTTTTACATTTCATTTATTATTCTTTACATCAATGACATTGTTTTATATTCTCACCATGTGTGCGTTTTATTTTGTCCAGTTTAGTTTGATTTAACTACGTATTTCAGTGAGGATAGTTTGTTATACTTTGTCTTGAAATTGCCATCCTTTGCCCCACACATGTTTTGAAATATTCGTTCTCTGTATATCTGAGATCGAGTTCCGCATCCCATCAAATAAACATGAATGAAGAAATATTGAGTAATTTATTCGAACATTTTATAACCCCCCAAACATTTCTCCCGAAAGCAAATAAGTTGGAGACAGTCCGCGCTCTCCCTTTGCTCCGCGCCCGGTGCAAGACCGACTGTGTGACCAGGGTAGCACCGGGGGGTAGCTTTAGCGTTTCGGGCCGGGGGGGGCAAACCCCTCGCCCCCCCCCCCCCCCCCCCCCTCCTCTTGCCTACGCCACTGTGTGCAGTAGAGTGAAATTAAGACGCCAGAATTACTCCGTAAGGGTAAAACCGTAAAAGGCATACGGATGCATTGGAGAGGTCAGGATAACGTCCACTTCAAATGAACAAAGTGTGTTTTCAGGAGCGGGTTGAAGGCCTAGGGGGCGGCGTCTCACACCGTTGACGCCTCGTTGGCGAACGCCTGCAGAGCCTCCCTACTTGATGAGGCTCATCTTTAAAAAAAATATTTTTTCAGCAACAACAAAGAGTGCTTTTTTTTTTTAATTTTTGATATGTTGAAGAGATGAGGTGGATTGAACGTTTGGCTATTCCGAAAGTTGCGGACACCGATGCCACCATTGCTTTTTCTAGATCTCAATAAGGCCGTTTTTGCATAAACTGGATAATTTGTCATTTAGTTAAAACGCAACAAAACGAGGCCTTAAAAGTTTAACACGTGCAATTCAATTATATTAGTTCTATGAGAACAAAGTTTAGAGATGTTCCAATCTCGACGTTTCCATAGCTATTACCACACTCCGTCCACAGCTACGTGCTCGGTCTTTCGCCAAGGGATCACGCTCCTGCTCATATCCAGGCGCAGAAAGCTGGATCAGGTGATTATTGGATTGACGAGCGCGTAGCTCTACGTAGGAGCTCATTTTTGATAGGCGGTGGCAACGGCCACTGAAAAGTACTGTCTCGTCGACCGGCCTCAGAACCGGCCTCTCCTGTGGATGGTGCCGCCATCTAGTGAGTGCCTCACCCAACAACCACCGCTTCTCGTTGGATTTGTTGTGAAATGCGAAAATAAAACAGCCGACCGACCGACTCCCTCCCACCCTTTACCGTTCCGTCGCCACTAATTTCGGTCTTGCAAAGTCATGCAAAGTTAGTCTACTTTGTTTCTTGGTGTAATTGCGATTCAAAAAGACTGTTATTGTCTGCACATAATAATGCCATGCACTGATTCGCCCAACTTCAAACAATACCACCAATGGTGGTGAACTGTTATTTTCGGTCTTAGCGTTACATATCGCAGCAAATTTTTTTTCTAAATATATCAGCATGCTCGCACTTCGGCGTCGAGAGTTATTTCGCAGTGAACTTGACACCTCCCCACGAAAGAGTGCCTCTACCATTTTTTTTTTTCGAATTTTAAATATTTTCACACGTGTTCAGCCTTGTAGCTCAGTTTTAAAGGGACACTGACACCCCCCCCCCCCCCCCCCCAAAAAAAAAAAAACAAAAAAAAAAACTTTTTTTTTAATTTTTGTTAGGCGATTTATTATGGTATCGGAAGACTACTCAATCAATATTTTGCTACAGCGTCAGAAGAAATATGGAGGAAGGGAAAGTTACCGGAAATCCCGTGGCTGTAAAACTTTTTTTTTCTCTTTAATTAGCGTATTTGCAGTTTTTTAGAAGCCACAAAAAATGGGTATCCAGTGGTGGAACTGATTTGGAGTAGCTCTTGTAGCAGGGAACAACAGGTTTTGGAGCGGAGATTCCCACTTTTGAAGCAGACAATTTTGAGCATTCAACAGTTAGCCTGCGAAAAAAAAAACTTCAGTTGTTTGAGTGTTGAGAGACTATTTAAGGTATCATGCCCACAGGGGATTTGACCACTACATATATGTATTTATTAAACAATCATACGCCAGTAATTTTGCAGGTGTCTTAAATTAACCTATTAGGAGTACCAATGGCGTCTTCGGTTTGTATTTGACGTAAAAAAAGCTGTTTTGGTCACTTTGTAGGGTTTGTATTATGGTGAAGTAATTGTCGCAAGTTCGACATCAAACGGGCACTTTTGTGTTGAATGTGTCTCACGCTGCCCTCGCTAGTATTCAACCGGTTACTGCTCTTAGAGCACCAAAGTTGAAAGCTGGGCTAGTTGGTGTAGGCTAAACATATTGTTTTACCTACAGTATGTTCTTAGAGCAGTTAAGCAGAGCGCATAGCTACCCTAACTGATCACAACGAGTAGCGCTACCTATTCATGAGATCGATCTGAGCACTGTTCGCACAAAAACCGATAACTTTTCGTTAGGCATGCGAAAATAATGGATTTTGGGTTCGAAGCAAATTCAGAGTGAACACCGTAAAATCCCGAGAGATAGCCCACCTAATATGGAAAGAAAATCGGTTGAAAATAAAGAGTGGGCTAAGTTTCGGTGTGAAATCAAGAAAATTTGAAAAATTCTATTTTTAGATCATGTGTCTCTCCCAAAGTTGTTATCGCGGCGAGGGGCAACGAAGCAAAGATGATTACTTCCCAGTCAGCAATGTTCGCTTATATCCCGCCATAGCTAACTAGACGCATTTACGCCGAGGTCATTTTTGATCCGAACACTACGATTACTAGGAGTGGGCTATATTGAATAGTTGCTGCGCCTATCTCCATGCCTTTCACTACTGTTACACCATGCTTAAAAGAAAATTCAGCTGAACTGTCAAAGGTTGTTCCCAAGCTTTTAATTGCCCACTTATGAGCTCTGTTCAATTTAATCTAGCTATAGTTATAGACAAAATATATAAAAAAAGACTTTAAAAAAATTAAACAAAAAAAAATCAAAAAGTATTGCTCCTTTGCCCGCACCACAAAAGATATAAGTATTGACTGTAGCCTTACACAGTCCAATGCCTACATTAGAATGGCAAGTAAATGACAGACCTGATATAAAATTAAACCTATAAGGGAGCCCCGCCATACCTAATTGAGGAGATTTATAAATCTTGTTATATAAAAATATTTTCTTCGGAATTAAGACAAAACAACCACAAGTAATGAACACACGTTGCTAAAACATCACTGCCTAACATATCCCCTTGCATAAAAGCCACAGTTAAATTTTAAAGACTTTACTGCAATATAGATATCACCAAAAACGTGTTCTTTTTTGTTTTTGTTTCTTTTTTATTATTATTTTATTACACTAAACGCGCAGATGTGTTTTTCGCCTAAGTGCAGCTGCGCTGCGGCGAAGCGAGTCGCGAGATCGCGGTGTCAGCTCTGCAAGTATAGCTTCTCCGCAGTGCACCCGTGCGAGAGGAGAAGCGCACTCAAGGGGGCTAATCCGCCGCGATCAACACTTCGAAAAGTACGAATCTAGCAGTTAATTTTGAAGCGAATATCAAAAATCGCATCATTTTAAACTGGTCAAATTAATTAAATTAAATTAAATGAATATCCACGCAGCTCTACACTTCGCACCTAGTACTTTGGCATTAAAAAAAACTGTACTTCCTTAATTTTCAGTAGTATCGCCAAGAATGCCACGTGCCAGCCCCTTTCAGTTGTCTTTTTGAGACCAGCTCTTTTTTGGCGCAGATATGGCACGAATTGTGCACAGATACAGCCTTTGGAGCAGCGCTAGCAGGGTCTTCGTTCTGGCGCAGTTTGACGCAAATGACACAGCAGTTCCACCACCGGGTATCATATTTTTTGCCTATCAAACTGAGTGTGTACTTACAAAGACCCATGACTTTATCTTTGGTGCTTATATCTAAGGCTTAGAAAACGGCACGGAGAAAATAGTGAGCGCGACTAAACCGGCCAGTTCTCGATCGGCGATTTTCGAATGGAAAGAAAACGAATCTCGAGCCGCAAATTGTGTTTTGGGCAGTTGGGCTTTCGTATGTCATGTAGAAATAAAAACCTAGGATACTATAAATACCCTGTCAGTGTCCCTTTAAGTTTCACTACGTCGGTGTAGAGCCCTACAGTAGCTCAAGGTTGGGCAGGTTTACAGCCTCTGGGACCGTATCCTCTTTGTTTTGGTAAAACACTACGTATTTACTACCAGAATATTTCCGTGCCCCTAGAAAATTTACCCCCTGCAGTAGGAGTCCACATGCAGAGCGCACTGGAAGTTTAGAAAAGCATTTATTCTCAGTCAGTACGATTTCCTTTCATAAAGATTGACGCAAGCATATAGTATAGAGAGCTCATGATATGGCACGAGGGTGACCCAGGCTGCCCACTGGAACAGTCTTCAACTGCTCCGGTGCTGCCCTCAAGACTGGAGTCGTTGGGCTTGCTCGAGCGCGGGAGGGCTTCCGGGAAAGAAGAGCCGCATGCTGTTCTCGTAGATCTGTGCGGTCAGCTGATCCACATCGACGCCACGGACGCCCGCCAATATCTCCGCTATCTGCCTGGAAGGGACAGAAAAACACTCGCTCACTCCTTCTTACTTCACACATTTGCGTTCGATTCTGCTGGGTCTGTTGTGATTTCAGACAATTGGTGGGTAAACGTTTTATTAATGAGTAAAATCAGGGCTGCTCGATACACATCATCTAGCCTCGTTGTGATCTCTCGTAGCTGCTGGCACACTAGCGCCATCTATCGGGCAGCCCCGGAACACTTCCGACCCACAAACATATTTTTACCTTTTCTTACACGTAATTTTTTAACCGTGAGATTGAAGTAATTTTGACAATGTTACAAACGACTATTTCTGATAAATACCACGTATATTTCACCTCGCAAACAGTGCAAAAGATTCAGTCTGGTTATAAACGGTTCGGAGGGGCGACTACCCGACAGATGGTGCCAGCATGCTCTTGTTGCAAAAGGTTACCAGCGGTGGCGAGGCAGTTGATCAAGACTCAAATGCAGGTGTGCGAATGCGCCTATCTGGCAGGCGGCCCAGAAGCTACCTGATAGACAGCACCAAAGTGCCAGCATGTTTTCCCGTCATAAGAGGTCGGACGCAAATGTGTGAACCAACATTAAGGCTGGGTCACACACCTGCATTCGCTTACGATCCAGTTCTTTTGGTCTCTTGTGACGAGAGAACGCACTGGCCCACTAGCGCCATCTATGGGGAGGTACTGGAACTGTATTTCACTAGAGCGAAGGGATTGCGGTTGTTCCACCGCTACCCGATAAATGGCTCCAGTCTGTTCTCCCGTCGTAAGAGATCACGAGAGCTCGTAAGGCACTCGGTCGTAAGGTCTCGCGAGCGTGTGAAGGAGCCTCGACCATTGCCACTAGATCCTTACACGAGATTTGCAGGCTCGTTGCGTCCCTTGACCATAAAGCCCGGCTCGAAGCGTTCCTTCTTCTTGCAGGGGAAGCTCGTCTTGACCAGCTTGGCTCCGGCGTGACTTGGCCGCACCTCGCACCAGGGGCAGTCTGCACATGGCGGGGCCCCGTATGAGCTCGGGATGCCCATACTGACCAAAGAGCCCGAAGCTGGCGCAGGCATCAACAAGTCCCACAATTGGGGCAGAAGGTGTCAACTGGGGCCACGACTTCGAAGGAGTATTAAAGAGGCTCGGGTGCTAGAGTGGCCACAGATAACACAATGCTGGGAAAGTTGCGTAATGCAAAAGACTCGAGCTGGTTTAAGATTTAGGTCTAAGCAGTCTTCTCAGAATTGACGTTTCAGGGGTCTCCACTATCGTGTCCCAAGCCCTCCAATTGTTTGCGTGGATGACCAGACTTATTTACCTTTCCTGTGCCTTCATTAGAACAATTCTGACTCAATGACACAAGCGCCTTTCATTCTAAAGGCAACCATCTCACAGCCATTTGAGAATGCTAGCCAGCAACATATGTTTAAGCAAATTTGAGGACTAAGTTCATGGAACAGCCACCAGCAAGAAGCCATTTTTGTCGCTCTTTATTCATTCCTTTGAACACTTCACATATCCGTGTCACCGCCAGTTAGCATTATACCCTTTTCCCTCTTTCATGCCATTATGGTCAGCTTGCATTTCCCATATATACAATCATAGGCCGAAGCCCGACAAGTTCTCATAACCTCAAATGCCCCCCTTGCCCAGACAAAACCTCCTCACCTGTTTCAATGAGCAGTCTCTCGGTGGGAATGGTGGCTGCAACCTCCAGATTGTCCTTTGTCTTGAGTGAACTGTTTCTCAACAAGTTAAGAGGGAAAGTACATAAGGTAAGAAGAAAACATTCCAGTTCAAGGTCCCCATATGTTCCACTCGGACTCCACGCCTCGCAACTCCGCATGCCGACAGCTTCGTCTACCAGTGCGTGCGACTTAATACAAGCTACACGTGGCACAAATACCCAGCGTGTATTAATTACTAGCTCAATGCATGCCACTTATTTCCCCATAAATGAGGCATGTTGAGAGCTGTGTGGAAGCAAATCCCAATGTTGGGAGTTTCCTACCTGGCTAATGTCCACCAACTAGTTCATATAATCTACATAAAATTTGTGTAAAGCCTACTACTAATAGTTTGAGGGCATATTGAATATCAATTTTCCAAAAGATTGCAAACTTCATTGACTTAAACCTCAAGAATGCGACGAGAAAAGACGGACAAAACCAAAGTCTCAAACACAGCTGCATTTTACTTGACAAACAATTCTGCTTACATATGCTTTAAACCCTAAAACTAAAAAATCCTCAAGATTCTTGAGTTGTGTTCACTGTGTCGAACCACAGTTCACCACAATGAATGAAATTTCACTCAGAAACGAGGAATATGTCGACTCGGCAGTTGCCCAAGTTCTGTTGGAAATTTATCCAAGTTTTGTAGATCTAAAGCTGCATGATCTCATCCGGAATCATTTCCTTTACAACGTCCTTGTAAGCCACTACATTGACTACCTCTTGTTCTGCAGTACTGATTTTATGTTTGCAACTTCACTTCAAAACACTGTTTATAACAGTTTTCTGGAGTTAAACTTCTTTGTAGGTAGACCGGAAAGTGGTAGCTTACAATTTCTAGATCTACAGCGGAAACATGCTTCCACTTTGTGCTGGGAAAATGGCAAGCTAACTGCAAAACCACTCCTGCTATTTCGTAGTTGCCACTCTAAACACGTAAAAGCTGGCATTGTTTGCAATGTAGTCAGTAAAGCATTCTGAAAAAGACATGTTCTCACTTTACTAGGATTGCTCTTCAGCACCTGTTTGACCGTTTTGGTCAAACAATTGTTGTCCTAATTTCCGTTAAAAATATTCCCAAATATTCTTAAACCCACAAAGTGTGCGGTTCTTCCGTTTTGTCACCAGGTTTTTCATAATTTTAGATCCATTGGCAACAGGTACGGTTCTAGCACAGTGCTCAGCAATGACTACCAACCTAGTCGAATGACTCCGTTTGCTTTCGCCAGAGCTGGCTGCACTAGAAAATATAGCAAAAAAAAGTCAGTTCCATGTCAGGAGTAATATACAAGATCCCATTCAATTGTGGTTTATGCTACATTACACAGACCAAGCGCTGTCTCAACGATCGTCTCACCGAACGCAAATGCTGTGTCAAAAACAAAGATCCATACTCGGAAGTATCGAAACATGTAATTAAGTGTAATAATGACCTGCCTTTAAGGCATTCAACCTCAATAGTCTTAACAAAAAAAATGATTGAAAACGTTTGGTAAAGAAATCTATAACTATCATGAACCATGGGAATGCTTAAAACCTCTCTCACTCAGAACTGAGAAGATTCCTTCAAATTTGATCCCTCGGTGTTTGGTAAAACTTCTCCTCACGTTCTAGCAGGTGTTGTTGCTATTTTCCTGGTTCAAAACAAGTTTGTTTTTTCAAGGCCACTTTTATTTTTTTTTATTTATTTAGTTTACTTCTTCTTATTTGGTCTGTGCTGTCAGCAAAACCCTGTGTGTGTTTGAGTGCTTCCAGATCAAAATCTGAGACGTGTTTCCTGTTTATTAAGGTGGTCACTGCCCTTGGAAAAAATGTTTGTGAAAAGTGGTGTTCAGGAGGCTACTGCTTTTCGGTTCTTTCGTGGAAAGGTTTTTTTGTTGTATTGTTTCCGAACGGTCGTCACTGCCTCCCTGTTTATTGTGGAAAGAGTGTTTCAAATTCTCCCATCCCCCTTTCTCTTTTTCTCCTTCACTTCACTTTTTTGTGGAGCCTGAAGCCTGTATAAGCAGAAACATCTGTCTAATAAAAATTAGCTGTGTTTGAGACTTTAGCTTTGTTCGATTTGTTCGCACCTCCTGCACCGGTGCAAAAAAGTGGAAGGCAGTGTACTTCCGATATGTAGGTCGAGATACGATCAGAAGTACACCTAACCACACTTCTCTGCACCGGTGCAGGAGGTGCTGGTAAATCAAACAAAGCTTTTGTGTTTGTCCGTCCCTTCTCGCCCCAGTCTCAAAGTTTTAGTTAATAATGCTCAACCATCACCAACTCGTCTGTGCCATAACCAGTGGCGTACCAACTTGTTTTTGAGTGGGGGGGCAAACCAGACCCTCTCCCCCCCCCCCCCCCCCCCCCCAAATCGAAAATTCGGCGCAACTTTTGTCCAACTTTTCTAAAGATTTGGCAATGATTCGGCAAAATTACAACGTTACCAGACTTAACATTGATATTTTGTTTTTTCTCACGAAAAAAATTTTGCTTCTTCTTCTTAAAATAAATACAACTTGTAGTGCCTATTGAAAGAGTTATGACTAAATAAGGTGATATTCTAGAAGATAATTGTATCGATGTCGCTTTTGTGTGTTTACTTGTAATTTTGGTGTATGCTTCCAGAAAGTGGCGTGACAACGAGGTTGGGTAGTAGCCGGCACAGTCACGAATCACACTACGAGAGCTTTGATTTTGAGGCTTCATCAGCGCACGCCTGCAAGTGTGTTTACATTGTTAAAATAAAGGCAATCACTGCGTTCTTACTTTCTCTGGTAGTCGCCGTTTCGTGCGCGAAAACGGATGCAACAGTTGCTGAGCCTTCACCAGAAGAGATAACAATATTGTAAATATGCATGTTTTTCAATTTGAGTCACTTGACGTCAGCTTTGCATGAAAGTGCGCGTTCCATATTCGCAACGTGCCGTTTTTAACCTTTAAAATTCCGGTTTCTGGTGTTCGGACACACACGGACGTTTAGGAAGATGGGGAGAGTTAGGAATGGTCGGATGTGCAACGTCGACCATGATAGTTCTGTGTTTAACGAATATTTTTCATCAGTGTTTACTAACAAGTGCTTGGACTCCGTCCCCACTGTCCCTGAAGAGCTTTACGAGCGCATGCATCCTATTAACGTTAACTCCGCCGGTATTATAACATTGATTGATAAACTAAAACTTACTTCGTCCGCTGGAACCGATAACATCAACTCTAAAATTTAAAAAAAACACCAGTGTTATTTCGAGTGAGTATTTAAAACTTATCTTTATTCAGTCCTTATCTCAAAGGTGCCTTCCATCTGACCAAAAGGTGGGAAGGGTAATTCCCAGTCTTTAAACAGGGCAGCCGCTCTTCCGCATCTAATTATTGCCCTAATTCATTGACTTCAATTTCTTGCAAACTACTTGAGGATATCCTCTACTCCAATATCATGAGGCACCTATCATCCCATTTCTTTTCTTTAAACAGCAGCACGGTTTTCAAAAAGGTACACTCTCCGGCAATATGAAAGACCCACTGGGAGCGCATGGCCGAGGCGGTGGCTGGCGGGGGCGCTGCGAGCCCTCCGGGCAATTCCATTCTGCTTCGAGGGGAGGACGCTCACTCGGGCTCAGATAAAGCGAAACGCGCTTATCAGTTTGTGCCGAGTGCCGAATGAGCGTCCTCCCCTCGAAGCAGAATGGAACTGCCCGGAGCGCTCGCAGCGCCCCCACCAGCCACCGCCTCGGCCACGCGCTCCCAGTGGGTCTTTCATATCGCCGGAGACTGTACTTTCCTGCGAAACACAACTCTGCGACTTCATCCATGACTTGCACACTAACCTTGAACCTTGAACCTTAAAATGAAAAAAACTGACGCAGTTTTTTTTTTTTTTTCCAAAGCGTTCGGCCGTGTTTTTTATCAACGCCTTCTTTCTAAACTATCATCTTTTTGCCTCGACCAAATAACCGTTTGCATAGATTCGTGACTTTCTTTTTTCCCGTGTACAGGTCACGTCCATGATGATCATGAATCTTCCTTAATAAATGTATCTCCTGGGCCCGTTTGCTCGAAGCGCTAACCGCGGCTAAAGTTAGCCGCAGTACCTAGGAGAGGGATTTGGAGATCACGTGACTGGCTCGGTAGGGATACGGGGAAACATGGCGGTGCCTCAGTGAGTGAGCGCCGCTCGCTTTGGAACTAATATGTCGTTGTAGCTGCAATATCGGGCGCGTTAGTCAGCAACGAATAATGCAGGAGGCTTTCGCTTTGCCTTAACTCACTTAAAACGCAAAGCATGCGCAATGACATCGCCGCATTTTTTAGATAGTGTTTCGATTCTGGGCATTCCTAAGCCTAAATGAATGCGATAATTGTCGGCATGGCAACGTCTTTGGAAAGCTGGTTGTTGATAGCACACAAAAGGAGACAGCGTCCCGACAGACTTTTTTCTAAATTATCCAAGCATCGCGAGGAGAACGCTGGAAGTGTAATTGTACGGTTCACGCGCGCTGGCCTTCCTCTTATAAAAGATTTGAAGTAAAAAATCATAATAAGGCTTTAACGAACGCGCGTGCAAGGCAAACTTTGTTCTATACTTTTTGCTTTAGAATGGTTACTGCTGCCTGCAGACGCCAGCACGTGCGACGCGTGCAACTACAGTCGTAGCATGCACCTCGGTGCTTGGATAATTTAGAAAAAAGGTCTGTTGGAACGCCGTCTGCTTTTGTGTGCTATCAACAATCCGCTTTCCAAGGACGTTGCTATGCCGACAATTATCGCGGTCATTTAGGCTTAAAAGTGCCCATAATCGAAACACTATCTAAAAAATGCGGCGATGTAATTGCTCATGCTTTGCGGTCTAAGTGAGGTAAGGCAAAGCGAAAGCCTCCTGCACCATTCGTTGCTGACTAACGCGCCCGATATTGCAGCCACGACTCATATTAGTTCCAAAGCGAGCGGCGCTCACTCACTGAGGCACCGCCATGTTTCCCCGCATCCCTACCGAGCCAGTCACGTGATCTCAAAATCCCTCTCCTAGGTACAGCGGCTAACTTTAGCCGCGGTTAGTGCTTCGAGCAAACGGGCCCTGGTGTTCCCCTGGGGTTCGTACTTGGGCCCTTACTCTTTTTAATATTTATTAATGACATCCCCATTGGGATTTCTTCAAAAAACCGCTTTTTCGCCGACGACTGCGTCATCCATAACAAAGCAACTTGTGTGCAAAATAATAACCAGCTTCAGGAAGATCTAGAGAAAATTAACAATTGGTGCAAAGAGTGGATTATGTCATTAAACAAGTATAAACGCAAACTAATCCACTTCACCAAGAAAAGAAACAAACACTGTCATTTAATTACTTCTTGTACTCCGATCTGATTGAGACCGCTACTGTGCATAAATACCTTGGTGTAAGACTAACATCTGACCTTCCCTAAGATAACCACATTGAAGTCATTACTGCCGATTCATCTGGAACTCTTGGACTAAGCAGACGTAACTTAAAAAGGGCTCCACCCTTTGTTCGTAAGCTAACCTTGGACACGTACGTCAGACCAAAAATAGAATATGCTTCAACCATCTGGAATACCCATCGACTGTACCTCATCAATACCCTGTAGAGGCAGTTCAGAACAGAGCTGCTCGCTTCATTTCATCCACTTATGACTTTTTTTTTCAGTGTCTCAGCGCTAAAAACTGAACTAACCATGTCCTCTTTGCAGCTTCGCAGAAAAGTCTCTCAGCTGTGCTTTATTCACAAAATCTACTACCACATTCCCGACCTCAAAACCACTTTGTTATTACCCCCCGACCGAACATCTTCTCGCCTCAACAACGTCTGCACCATCAAGCACATTTCTGACTCTACTAACGCTTTCAATTGGTCATTCCTTTCTCAAGCCATCAGCCATTGGAACAGTCCCCCATCCTCCATTGTCACCATCTTGGACCCTGCTGATTTCTCCTCTGCAGTAAAACTACACCTTTCTTGGCCCATGTGATGGTGTGTGGGGCTAGGCAGATAGGTGAAAACCCTTACGCAGAGCGCCTGCCGGGCCAGACTTGTACGTAGTTCAACTACTTTACTCAAGTTACTGTAGTTTAACTCCTTTTCTGGGTAGTTTAGTAAATTTTAATTACATTTATATTCTAGTAATTCGTAGTTTACTTTAACTACTTTTCCGAGTGACTTCCACTCAAATTACAAATTACTTTCTAATTTTAGTGGTTGTTTTGCCTATCAACACAGAAAAGATGTCGGAAGGTCAGCTGATATTTGCAGAGGGGGAAGCATGCGGAGTAGAAAAGGGGGGGATGGGGAGGAAGAAAGTGATTTAGATAGTCCAAAAAACCCCAAAATTTTAACGAGACCCCCCACTGCAACAACATTGCTACGAGGCGCGGGGAGCGAACAGACACGACGCAAGAGAGGTCGAGTAACTGTGGGATTAGCTCCGAATAGTGGCGTTTCTTTGTATTCCGAAGCTCAAGGAGACTTGACGCATTTGAAGAAAGGGCTTGTCCCCGCTTCTCTCCAATGTAGGAATTCTTGCCCACTACAGGAGGTGCACACACTGCTCCTTTTACGGTGCAGGCGATAGAACCCCTAACAACGACGCTCACGCCGGATGGGCTGCTCGTGTATCACTCGAAGCGCGTTAACCCACCCCCGCGCCTGCGTTCACGCCGCTTCGCGGTGACGGTGTGCGGCTGCTAATTACAAATCTATTAACCCAACTTGCCCCCCCACCCCCCCGCTTTGCGGCGTCCGGTCGGCAGCCCAAGCCCCGCTGCCCCCCATGCACTTCCGTAAATAGAGTCGATACGATTTAGTTTAGCGATGTTTCGTCAAAAACATTAGTTTTTTTAGTGTTAATGGTAAAAAAGAAATGTAAATATCGCCAAATGCCTCGACAAAACAAAATGTTCGAGAAAAAAAATAAAAAGAAGTAAGCCGGCCCACACCATAAATAGAACCCGGGTCTGACACGTATGAGGCAGACATCTCACCACTAAGTTACGCTACCTCTTCGGAAACTCGCATTGCATCCGCTGCCTATGTTGACGGCGGCAGCGCCTATCTCCAAGCAAGCAAGCAAAACTTTATTTTGTGTAAGGGCCTAAGTCCTGGTCTGGACGGCCCGTCCGGCCCATGTCTCGCGGATGGATTCCGTTAGGTTACCGTGTAGCCTTGTTCGTGGGGCAAGGCTCCACAAACCAGCCAATCCGGCGTGCGTGAGCACCGTTGCTAGGGTTTGTATCGCCTGCGCGTTAAAAATATGCCGGCGCGGGTTGGGGGGCAGTGCCCTTGGTATTCCTTGGGCGCCGCCGGCCTGTGTCTGCTCTGCCCAGTGGCGGCCGTTTCAGGGGGGGCAAAACGCATGCCTTGCCCCCCCACTCTGAGAACTGGGGGGGCAAGTGCCCCCCTTGCCCCCCCGGTTGGTACGCCCATGGCCATAACCTCCTATTGTATGGCATTGCACACTACAGGGCATTATGAGCAACGGCCATTGAGATTCGGTACCCACCAGCCATTGATCCCAATATGGAGGCCCAAGTCGAGAAATGCAGCCGCATCTTCCTTGGTGCCATCAAACGAGTGAACCTGAGTGAGCAAGCAGAAACAGAATGTCCAGCTCTTAATAATAATAATTGGGGTTGAGAGGATATTTATACAGCGTGTAGTTGGTCTGCCATTTAAAGTTGCGACGAGTCACACGCTGTAGATGAGCAATTTAGCCAGTGCAGCACAACCGCTAGCCTGGGGTCTTTAACGTGCTCACGTAGTAGTGATACACGACCGCACGCCGGTACGATGCTCATCCAGATCGAAACGGGCAGGGGTGGGGCTCGAACCCAGGACCCCTGGGTTCTGCAGCGCGAGCTTTCGCTCCACGCGCATCGAGCTGGGTGTGCGCTTCAGCCCACTCGGCCACCGATCCCCCTCCAGCTCTTAATGCAAAGCACACATCTTGGGTCACCATTTTGTGTGTAGAGTGGCAGCTCCAACGTTCCCCAAGAGCAAGATTCAGTTGCCATTCTTTCCCTGGTAAATTTTTTAAGCAGCCAAACTTCAAAACGTTTATCTAAACGAGCACCGTACCAGCATGCGGTCGTGTAGTCACCAATGCACGAGGCATGCTCTAACACTTCAGGTTAGTGATTGCACTGTGTTGGTCAAGCTGCCCAACTACAGCGGTCACACCAAATACCATTTCAAAGGCAAACAAGCTTGCCACCGTCTAAACCTCCAGACAACAAATAGGACTTTTAATGCGAACGCATTAACCGTCCCACGGAGCGAGCCGACGTCATCAGCTTTGAAACCGCCCCAAACAGCACCTTAAATGCTTTCTCCAAGCCAGCTCCCAGCTATGAAACCACGCAAAAAGCCTAGCCAAACGGCCTCTAGTTTCCCCGATCTTAAAGGAGCGCAGTAAAGCAGATGGATTGCGGCTTCGGTCTCATTGACTGGCGCGCATCGATAAGGCTCCTATTGGCCGCTGCGTCAGTTTCAATGACCATCACCCCATGGTGCTGCGTGTCCGCGAGGCAGCGGCTCCACCGCTCCACGCCCAAGGTCAGCGCACCGAAGACAGTGCGCTCGTTCTGCCGGTGACAAAAAGTATGCAGCAGACGAAATAAGGAAGTGGACGAGCGCCTTGCATGCTTTCGCATTCACAACTCGCAAGAAGTGCTTAGGTATACCTCGAGCCTTTTTGATCTCTGTTAATGGTGGCTACTATACATGACTGGCAATTTGAAAACAGAGGGCACCTCTTTTCCTTTGCCCGGACGGACTTGAGTTTCGAATTCGTCAAGTTTCCCCAGGCTGAACCCACTAACAAAACAATTTCAGCGAGCCAAGTGCGGGCACCAATTTTTCGGGAGGATTTCGTGATATAACGAAGTAACGAGAAAATAATTCATTACAATTTCAAGCTGAGGCTACACATTCCTTTTGAATCGCAGCAACGAATGCGCCAAGTCGCTTTATGAGCAAGCAGTAACGGTATTTAGTTACTCTATTTCAGAGACGCATAAACGTTGGGTACGTACCACGCCGGCCGAGAAGCGCGTCCGGTTCCTGCGCAACAGCGCCAAAAGATCCGCAGCCGCCCTCCGGCAGTGCAGGAACAGGGGCAGTCCGGACACCTGGGCCAGGCCCAGCTGGAGCTCCAGGTAGCGCAGCTGCATCTCCTTGCCACAGAACTCCAGCCGGTCATAGTCTGTGGCAATGGAATTTTGTGTTTCCTCATATACCCAGACTCTGATGCCCCCCATCCCTAGACTTGGAAGTTACACAAAGGCCCGTTCACACACTTGCGTTTGCTTGGGATCGAGTTCCTGAGATCTTTTACGACAAGAGAACACACTGGCACGCTGGCGCCATCTACGAGGTGACCCTGAAACTACATTTGGGAGAATGAAGGTTTTGCGCTATTGGCGAGATCGAATGTATGTACTGTGTATGAGAAATTGTCAGTTATAACATTGTCAGAAGTTTTTCGAGCCAACAAAAAACGAGTGTTGCATGAAAAAAAAGAAATATACGGTAAGTGTGAATGTTCCACAACTACCCGACAAAGAGCGCCAGTGTTGTGTCAGTTTTTTTTTTTATCGCTCCTCGTCTCGAGTTTGTAATGAAACTGAAGGCACGCAGGTTATTTATTTATTAACGTTACCATCAGGGCGTGAGCATTACAGAGGGGGAAGTGGTTGCAGGAATTATTGAAAGCACAGACACACATACAGGAAAATACAATCGATGTAAATTAGGAAAAAAATACATTCTAAGGCTTTTTGAAAAATGTCATGATTTATGATAGAGACTATGGGTGCACGAAAGCGGTTCCAGTCACATGATACAGATGGTATAAAAGAATTGTGAAAGATGCTGGCACGAGCATGTGGGATGCCAACTTTTTGTTGATGGTCGAGTCCAGGTGAAACTTAAAGGGGAGCTTACGTATGATCAGCTTATTACGCAGCGTGTTGTTCGTGAAATAAATTTCTATGAAACAAACTTCTACCGGCTGATAACTGAGGGAGAGAAAGATTAGATTTCATAATGCTTACGCTGTCTGTTCGACGGTAATTAGAAGATATAAATCTAGCAGACCAATTTTGGACAGCTTCAACCAAATCAGTTAGTATACAGTGACCAGGGCTCTAAACAGAAGGCGCATACTCAAGCTTTGATTGTAAGAGAGTTTTATACAGAATTAGTTTTAAAGGCAGGGGTGTTAAAGAAAAATTTATTTCAAGTAAACAGCTTGCAATTAGCGTTGTTAATGGTGTAGTCAATACGAGTTCTCCATGAAAGGTTAGATGTAATATTAACTCCCAGATACTTGTAGGCCGCAACTAATTCGAGAGGATGGGTATTTAGCGTATAATGGGGCTGACATGAAGCACAACGGGACACTCTCATAACTTTACATTTACTACAGTCGGGTACCATGGACCATGAGTCACACCACTTAGAAACAGAATTATTATCATTTTGTAGTAGGTCAGTGTCAGAGTCACTAGTAATTTATCGATAAATAATGCAGTCGACAACAAATAAATACATTTTTGAGGATATGTGAGAGGGTAAATCGTTGATGTATATGAGGAAGAATGACGAACTGAGCTGTAAGTAGTCGCAAGTGTGTGAACCAGCCTTAAGTTCCATTAGCAAGTACACTTCACAATTCCACTTCTGGAATTTCAAAAAGACAAATTAATACTCGTCTTTTGTTTTCACAATGCTCTCACTTCTTGAGCGACATCATCACACAGTGAATGCATGCTTGCAACCTACTGTAAAATACCAAGTGTGCACCCGTATCGCAATAAGCAGCCACCCGCTACATTAGAAAAATAAGCGGAGGACATATTGAGTGCCCACCGCACAGGGGTGGATCCAGAACTCCGTTTTGGGGGGGGGGGGGGAACATTTTTAAGGATACTACTCTCCCAGTCTTTCTGTGCACCGGGCGGTCCACCCGGTGCACAGAAACTGCTTCTCCAAACACGCCAGTGCAAAGCAGTGAAGCTTTACGCGAGTGAGCAGGTGCGAAGCCGCTGACTCGCGTAAGGGTTCCACCAGACCCCTATACTGCTCCTATGCCATCCTGTCAGATCAAACGTGGGCTTACCCCGCCATGTGCTCCTCCTGCTTTTCCGCTCTCGGGGCCTATCAACGCCCATCCCCATTTTTTCGTGATTATCACCATCATTTTGGCGGGTGCTTGATCGGTATTTTACGGTAAATTTTTTTTACAAACTGGGAACCCACAAGCAGGAAAGTCTTTCCCCAGATCCCTAGCAGCTCCAAAAAATTTCTTACAGCAGGGACATTTCCCTGCAGATGGGAAATGTCCCTGCTGGTCGGTCTGTCTGCCAGACCAACCAAAGAGCTGATGCTCCATTCGCCTCAAAACAACTGTGGGGTGGAAGTGATGAATCACCTCGCTGCGTATGACTGCATTAGTCAGCAAAGCATACATGCCAGAACTTTAATCATACAGTCAGAAACGATTGCCCCAAAGCTGTCAGTTTTGGGGTGACTGGAGCATAGCCTTGAATGGAATCCCTACTAATGGCAACAACCTACTTCCAAGTGGCGACAGAAAACAAATCGTCACTGCCGATGCAATATTGTTTGAATGAGAGCACCCATAATAATTATTGCCCTCCTGTCGAGCCGTATCGACAGCGTCAAGAACTTTTCATGGGAAGGCATCTACAGCAGACGACCCACCCGTCTGCAGTATTGATTGATGTGAGTCACGTGAACGGTGAGTTTGCATCTCATCTAAAGCTTGCCGAAAAGCACATAGGAGAGATGGTTTATCAAAAAAGCTTAAGGTGGAGTTATTTCAAGAGTCTCAGTTACTCTGCTACCCTGGGTGCTCTGGCCCTACAGGCAGGTTTCACGGAATACGGCTACGCACCCAAGCCCATCTCGCCCACGGCAACCACCTTGCTGCCGCCCTGTGCGACGAGGGACTCCAGCTGGCTCAGGTAGCCTCGGGGATCGGCCTCAAAATCCTGGCATCGGGTCGGGTGGCAGCCCACCGTGCTGTACAGCATGTCTGCACCGGAACAGGGGACACACTCTGGCCACACTGCAAAACTCACCAGGCATAATCCACTGGTGCAAAAAGTGTACAGCGACAGATCGGCGAAATCTACCAACCGTCGGCTGCACACTGAGAAGCACCTGTAGTCTGCTGTTGCAACATAGGATCTGCGGTAGAAGTTCTGCCTTCAGTGCGAGCTTTCCACTTTTGATAATGCTGTGGCAGGTGCGGAGCGCTGCCACAGTGCAGAGCTGCACATCTGCTGGAGGCAGCTTCTTGAGTAGATCTTGCGTTGCTACAGACTTATTCTCCAGCTTTGAAAGCTAAATTGCGGGAGGGCATTTTATAACGGTGCGGGTAAATGGGATGCTTGGGCTCAATTATTAGAAACTCCCATGGTCCTAAAGATGTGGCTGTGGGACCAGTACTCAGATTGAAGATAAACCTAATTTACACACTGTCAACATTTTTTTTGTGTGTGTTTATTAAGTTTTGCATAAATAATCTAGGTTATGATGGTAGCATGGTACAAGTGGAGAAGCTATGAATAGCTCGCATAACTTCTGGTTTCTAGAGTTGAAACTTATGATGTAATGATAAATAGCTATGTACCTCTAAAAACTAACTCTCATAAAAAAAGAATTAAAAAAAACAAACAGGGAAAGTGTTATTTTGTAGACCCTCAGAGGGGGAACAATAAAAAAACGGAAGAAGACAACAATATCTCAATTGAGATTTTATTGTCTTCGTCCATTTTTTTATTGCTCCCCATCTCAGGGTCTACAAGATGTTCATTCATCACCAGCTCGCCTGCACTCTCTATCACTGCTTACGATAGGGAAAGTGTTTGTTTCTTTAGCCTCTAGCAATGCATGTGTCTCTGAGAATAGGGAAATAGCTATGAAGTAAACAAAATTGAAGCAGCTGGCATTCACCATGAGTCCTTGCCAAGTTCAGTGCTTGTCGACTGTCCTCCAAGCTGCCTCCTGTCACAAGCACCTAGGAGACAAGAAATTCCATGCTGTGATGCCCTAGAACACAAGTGGCACAGCTATCCTCTCGGACAGTGTGTCTCTCATTATGTTGCATTTTGGGACAGTGCAAACCTAACCATAGACCGGCTTGCCAGTGCAAAGCTAACCATAGACCGGCTTGCCAGTGCAAAGCTAACCATAGACAGCAGGACACAAGTCTCATAGGTGCATGAGTGTATGTGTTGCACAAAGCGCTCTACTGATATGACAAAGGAAATGCAAAGGCTACAACTGTTAGACTATCGTTTAGGGGCTAGAGAGTAGAAAATTAGCGGAAAACACTGTGGCATTCATATTCAATAGTTCATGTTGGTAGAACACTCGAGCGAGGTATGCATGTCTCGCATATTCGATATGAACACAGACACCACCAATTATCTAAATCTCATGCCTGTGGCATCTGCTATTGTCTCAAGTTAAAGGTGAACAGAGTCTTCTACTTCTAGCAAAACAGACAACATTCCGTAGCTCAGAAAGGTGCACTTTAGAAAGGATAAGGGTAACTTCAAATAAGCTGGGAATCGAGTGAAGTTATAGTCCAGCAGACTTGAATGTCATCACCTTGTCCAAACCATTGGCAGCGGCTCGCTTTAGAACCTCCTGCAGGTCGTCGACATGCTTCTGCGAGCCATTGTAGATTCCTCGAAACATGGGATCTGGAATGCAAGTGCAAAGACAGCAGCTCCACAAGGCAGGAGCTGGAGGTGATGGACCTCAAGGAAAATGAAGCGATGTTTATGATCTGTCGCACTTTGCACAAAAAGAGCTGAAGGGTGGTTCACACACTTGCATTCGCTTACGACCGAGTCCTTATGATAACTTACGACGAGAAAACACACTGCCAAACTGGCGCCATCTATGAGGTGACCATGGAACTGCATTTCACTGGGGTGAAGATTTTGCATTATTTGTAAGATCAAATGTATGCACACTAGCGATCTATGAAAAATGATTGTTTATAACATTGTAAAAAAAAAAAAAAATTCAAGCCAAAAAGGGAAGAATAATGGAGGAAAGAAATAGGAAATATATGGGCACTACGTTCAATAGCTCACTAATAGATGGTACCAGTGTTTTCTCGTCGTAAGAGATTTGAAGAGGTTGTGAGGCACACTGTTGTAAGCAGCTGCAAATGTGTGAATCAGCCTTTAGAATGCGTTTGTAAAGTTTCCGTCTCGTGCCATCTAGCAAGTTTGCTTGCGGATGTTAGTCACCAACATGGCTGCTACAGGTACAAGGCATATCGCTACGATGCATAACAGTCCACTGACAATCTCCTCAAGCAAAGCTCTTACTCACCAGTCAGGTTTGCCCCAATGTCAATAAGACGACGCCTGGCAGCCATGGCTGCCGTCACTTCCTGTCTGGTAAAAAAAAAAAAATACAAAATATACGGGGGTAACCGATTTTGTAGCGCACCACCATATATGACTGTTACTGGATTGCAGGTTTACTGCACACCCACATTATATGCATTCAAGTTTCAAACCACCTCAATATGTGCTGCAAAAAACTTGGTAGGTAAACTTCTTACAACTAACAAATATACGACCTAGATGCATTCTTGTAGATCAGAAAAAGAAGAAAAGAAAAATGTATGATTAAGGGTTATGTCTTGCCTTTATAGTAGCTTAGAAATTAAAATATTAAGGTTGACGAAGACATTACAGACTTACACTAGCAAACAAAAACTTTTATCGAGTCCCTACTTCCTTAAATCTTTACGTAAGCTAAATAAAAACAGAAATGGCGTGGAGGCACCTCACATAACCTCAGCTAGCTTAAGTTCATAGCTTGCATGCTAATTATTTTTTTTTAATCAGAAGTGTGAAAGCTGGGATGTGTACACATGTAGACCAAATGACCAAGGAAGAAATCTTGACATATAATAAAATACGAGGTAGGCTGCATGAATGGGCAAACAATTCAAGTTTTTTTTACGATGTCCTACCCCAAGTTCACGGCCCAAAGCGCGCTAGACTATGCACACTCTGAAGCGCGAGTGTAGCAGAAGCTGCGAGCTCCAGCGTTTAAGGTTCCCTGCCAAGCACGCACGCTCGTGCAATGCGAACGTCGTTCAGAGCAGCTAGACGATCGCGCCTGTGGCTTCGCGCACACGAAGTGAATTGGAGCACAGTCCCGAACTGTCTCCGGCAGCAAGGCGCACCTACCTGCGGCGTGCGCGCTGTTCCGTGGGTCACCGGCCACCGAATGATGCGTCGGGAGCCCGGCACACCCGACGTAAACCCCACCCCAGCTGCCGATCGAGTACCGTTATGAGCAGCGTCAAAAGGCACCGGAAACGAAACGGGTTCTGGACGCGGGGCTCAGGCTCGGGTCCGATTCCGGTCAAAGACCAGGAAGTGGGCCGCGAAAAGAACGGCAGTTCCGACCAGCGAAGACTGTGGACCGCGCCTCCCTGTCAATGCACGGACACGTGCGAAACAGCTGTCATCATCGGCTGGCCAGGGAGCGTGCGGGTAGGCGGCAACGGGCGACACGTTGATCGCACGGACCTTGCGATTGAACTAAACCGTTGTCCCGTTGATTCGGAAGTGAACCTCACTATGTGGCACTCTCGCAAGCCAGCGGCGTTGCTAATCTGAACATCCAGCGTGTCATTTTTAATATTGATGCTGCTGGTCGGGACAAATGATAATATCATACGACATCGGCCGGCGCGGGTCGACATACAACCGAGGGGACCGAGGTAACCGGCGGAATCGGTATCCAAGCGAGCTTGACTTGGATTTGAAGTTTTCTTTTAGCCGTTGCCCATAGTAGCCTGATGTCTTCGTTCACATTTCCCCGTAGTTCTCCCACTCGTTTCGAAAAGAGCGCGGCTTTTGAAAAGCATTTTATTTGTTTATTTATCTATCTATCGTTTCTCTAACCGGAGAGATTTCTCTCAAATGTTTACTTTAAAGTTTTAAAGAATGTTCGCTTTTCGAGACCTCAAGTTTGAACCCGAAAAGCCGAAAGGCTTTTCCCCAACCCTACGTGCACGAACAAGCTGGTAGTGCTGGTAGCTTGCGGAGCTGCTACAGGTAGAGATGCTGGTGTCAGTTACCAAGCGGAGCCAGCGGAGCACTGCTCCCTCAGTGACCATCACCATCTGCGGAAAAAAGTGACTTTTTTATTTTTTTATCCTGGAGAGTGGGGAAATAGAAGAACAGGACAACGCACAACACGTCGGTGAGTGCTCACCTAAGGCCCTTCCCGAGCCCGGGACTAGATCAACCAGACGCGGTCTTCACTGTCGGCTGTGGGTCTTACCTTCTGATGTTGGCATCTCCTATTCGCATATCAATGCATGGCGGCCCACCGTCCATGTTCAAGGCGCGCTATAGAGCGACAAAGATGCGTGCGTAGCGTTCGAAAAAACGACGAGAACGTGGAAAATGAGTTGTATGACGCGAGAGCTACCGGGGCCGAAATGCGCCAAGTGCATAAACTATTGCAGAAACAAGGATTGAAGAAAGGATCGAATAAGACTATAAGATGAACATGAATCGTGTATAGCATATGGACATGAGGGTATAAATGATAATTATGATGACTATGCATTTCAAAAGAAAACGTGGAAGAGGCGAGACACGTAAGCTTCGCATGCCCCCATTCGCGACAAGGTAATTTAGTTACAGTTACAACTTTTTTGTTTCAAAGGTGTTTCTTTTTCTACAGCATAATATGTTTAGCTAGGGTGCCTCAATAGAGAGTTTTAGTAGATCGTTCCGATACCTCCGATAGCCCCGATAACGATATTATGCATGCACAAGGGAGGCGGTGGCCGTGTATCGGGTATCGTTATCGGAGTCATGGGAACGATCTACTAAAACTCCCTAATGTCCTTCTGTTTAGGGTGATGCCACCCTTTGTAGTACCCGATGCCGACAGCACGCGCTCACGGGAAAAATACAAAGAAATCGACGAAAACAAAATGTCGCCATAGCACAGTCAGCGCCACTAACGCGTGCAGGGACACGCTCTTTCACGCGCTTCTGAACAAAAAAGAAAGATAAAAGTGTGGGACAAAATGGCCAGATGTCTCCACCCTAAGCAAAGCGCACATGAAGGCACCCTATGTTTAGCGTTACAACTTACATAGTGCACAAAAATAAATAACTGATTGCAGTTACAAATTACGTTTATGAAGTAAGTGAAATTAGGTCACAATTACTTTGCACGGTGGGATACTCAACTTTAATGACCTTGATGTGGCAGCACTTTTCCGCTCTAATATGTCTTTTTTTTTTTTGTGTTAATAGAGGATTTCCAGCGTTTCATATTCGCAACATTTTGGGACTTTATGTTTCACTAACTTTATTCAACTATGTGCAGTGAGCTATCATTATGCGCGTCAGTCGTTTTATCAAACCTACGATGGCTAGTGTGGAAAGCAAATTTATCTGTGTATGTACTAAAAGAATCGGATTGAGACTCATGTTTCCGCGTTTATTTCAAAGGCATTCAGGGGAACGTGCTGCCGTTAGGTCCTTTGCTGCTTTCGGCACTTTATAGGTAGTATTCACTGAGCCTGCAGGTTCAATTTTACCGGGGAGCACAAACCGCTATCCTCGAAAACACGTTTTTTTTTTTCTTTTTTTCTTTTTTTTTTTTGCACGGTTTTGTTAGCTTGAAAATGTATTGGGTTGCCAAAGGCATGGTAGCGCTTTTTTGGACGAGGACAAAAGAAAGAAAGACAAGACAGACACGAGCGCTGACTGCAACTATTTAATCAACATGGAAATGAGGCATATATACACGCTTCGATCCTATCAATCAACCAACCCCAGGCCTAGCCGCCACCTGCATGAACTGCACTTCCTTATCGAAAAGGTCGATAGATGCAACGCTGACACACCCCAGCCCTGCCCTTTTTATTTCGTCTGCTTCAATAATCTCCCTAACAGTTCTATTTTTATGTTTAGCAAGTACGGAACATGAGTCAAACAAAGGTTTGCATCCGCAGTCATGGCAGTGCACTGAAAGATGGCCATCCCGATAGTTTTTTACGTTCAGACTATGTTCTCGGAGCCTATCGTTCAGGCATCTCCCAGTCTGACCAACATACTTCTTACCGCATGTTAAGGGAATCTGATATACCACACCCTCAACACAAACGACAAACGGATTTCTGTGCTTAATCACACAACCCAGCGAGGCTTTCCGGAAAGGGTTCGTCAAATGACTAAGCCTGGCTAGCTTCTCTGAGAGAAGCTAGCCAGGCTTAGTCATTTGACGAACCCTTTCCGGAAAGCCTCGCTGGGTTGTGTGATTAAGCACAGAAATCCGTTTGTCGTTTGTGTTGAGGGTGTGGTATATCAGATTCCCTTAACATGCGGTAAGAAGTATGTTGGTCAGACTGGGAGATGCCTGAACGATAGGCTCCGAGAACATAGTCTGAACGTAAAAAACTATCGGGATGGCCATCTTTCAGTGCACTGCCATGACTGCGGATGCAAACCTTTGTTTGACTCATGTTCCGTACTTGCTAAACATAAAAATAGAACTGTTAGGGAGATTATTGAAGCAGACGAAATAAAAAGGGCAGGGCTGGGGTGTGTCAGCGTTGCATCTATCGACCTTTTCGATAAGGAAGTGCAGTTCATGCAGGTGGCGGCTAGGCCTGGGGTTGGTTGATTGATAGGATCGAAGCGTGTATATATGCCTCATTTCCATGTTGATTAAATAGTTGCAGTCAGCGCTCGTGTCTGTCTTGTCTTTCTTTCTTTTGTCCTCGTCCAAAAAAGCGCTACCATGCCTTTGGCAACCCAAGACCAATACCAACTAGCCCAACACACAGCTTTGAAAATGTAGTCGTCCGCTTTTCGTGTTTTAATTTCATATCGTTGAAGATGCTTCGTTGAAGAAAAAAATAGAGAAAAAAAATCTATCTCCGGAGGGGCCCGTTTTAATTACCTTGCTGCCGCCAAGCGCCGTGTCTATAGACCTTTTCCACAAGGGTGCCGCCATCTTGAATTGTCGTCACTTCCAGTATGGGCGAAAACATTACTTTGCCCTCACCACGCCAATAGAAGACATTTAGGATATAAGCCTAACCGTCACACAGTATCGTTTTGGCTCCACTCTATTTTTTTACTGGTTACAGGTTGAAACGTTTTACTTTTTTTTCGTCGCCCATACTGGAAGTGACGACAATTCAAGATGGCGGCGCCCCTGTGGAAAATGTCTATAGTCGGATGCAACCTAAGAACAATCTTTTAGCTCCACCCACAAGCGCATTGCGCCCATCTGAAGTGCCTCCGCCGTCGAGAAAGTAGTTCGCTAGCAACGTTGCTTTTTCTTCCTTCAGGAAACCTGTCTTAAACTACTACAATATTTATTTAATTCATTCGGGACATTTAAATAAGTTAGAATACGTTTTTGTCAACGAAATAGTTGTTTAGTAAAGAAAGAAAGAAAGTCATGTCCAATGTACCGTCTTCACAATTCATTTTCTGTCCAAGATACTGTCTAACATACCGTCTAACATACCTCTCAGCAGTGCTAAGCCTCGCGCCCGCTTCGAAATTTCCGTTGGCGATAGCGTCGCTGGATTCTCATGTTGTCGATCAAAAACTGCTGCAAACGCAAGCCGATACCATTAAGATTTCGTGGCGTAACCTCGGGCACGTAAAACACGGTGCAAAAAAGCAGAATAAGGCCAGCAGCCATGTTGAGTTTTTTTTTTTTTTTCAAAAGGATCGCGATTGGTCCACAGAATCGTGACGTCATGAAAACAATTGGCTGGCGTTTCTCGGCGTAGGATTACATTTTCCTCTGAGAGGCATTTCCGGCTTTTTCTTAGCTTGCAACCGACTATAGTCGTTTGAGTGATGGTGAACTGCTTGGTTGGAGGGTGCTCTAACCACAAAAGTGGGCTTTTTCCTCACCCCAAAAGTGGTGACTAACCAGTGTGATAGGACGGCAGCCTTATACCTTCGAAGAAAAGGGCCGCTCGCTAATGAAAAATGCGGCACATTTTTCATTAGCTGCGCACAAGGTAAGCCGCACGGTGTGTTTCTGCACAGCAACGAATACCGTTGGCAGGACGTACGACACGGAGGCGATGGGGCAACACGGTTACGCGGCCGTAGTAAAAAAAATCCACTAAAGACAAAAAAAAAAACTAGCAAAACAAAACAAAGAGTAATCACACCGTGCTACAAAAGCACCAAAGCAGAAAAAAAAAAACACTCCTTGCACGAAAGCTACCTCCGTGGGCAAGGCGCGCGACACGGAGCGCTGCATGAAACCGATGGAGCAATGCGGCCGAGGTGAACGAGCCCGATAGTGACAAAAACGAACTAAAACACACACAAAAAATATTCCCACGAAGCTTCAAAAGCACCAGAGTATAAAAATAACCCCTAGTTTCGCCCCAAAACACCCTTTAAAGTTGTAGAACGCTAAGTCACGCTGAAAGGTCCGGCCAGACGACACCTGGGCCGGCTTGCTCGAAGCAGAGTCTCAGTTGAGACTGCTCAAAGAAAGCGCTGTCAAGGCCAGCACTCGAGCTTAAACCGAGTCTCAGACGTTCGCGCGCCCGAGCCTTGGCAGCGCTTTCTTTGAGCAGTCTCAACTGAGACGCTACTTCTAGCAAGCCGGCCCTGACACCTACGTGCCCTACGTGGGATAGAAAGAGACATCGAAGAGGGCGACCGTGGTGTCCGATGCCAGCGCACCTAGCGGGTGACGTCAAGTGAATGTCACCTATACACGTTTGCAAGTCCGGTCTCAGGGCGCCGCCATCTTCCTCAGTGAGGT